TTAGCCTCCCAAGTAGCTGGGACTACGGGCACCCACCACCATGCCTGGCTAATTTTTTGTATTTTTAGTAGAGACAGGGTTTCTCCATGTTGCCCAGGCTGGTCTCAAACTCCTGGTCTCAAGCAATCTAAGTACTAGGATTACAGGTGTAAGCCACCGCGTCCAGCCAACTTAGCAATTTTTTTTATTATTTTGGATATTAATATTTTGTCAGTTAAGAGGTACTGATATCTTCTTATAGTCTGTAGCTTCTCTTTTCAACTTTTTGTATTAATAGTATCTTTTAACAAAGAACTTTATAATGTAGCTAAACTTGCCAGTTTTCCTTTCACAGTCAGTATTTTTGTCTTAAGAAACCTTGGGGCCGGGCGCGGTGGCTCAAGCCTGTAATCCCAGCACTTTGGAGGGCCAAGGTGAGTGGGATCACATGAGGTCAGGGGGTTCGAGATCAGCCTGGCCAACATGACAAACCCGTTTCCACTAAAAATACAAAAATTAGCCAGGTGCAGGCCCAGGGCCTGTAATCCCAGCTACTCGAGAGGCTGAGCCAGGAGAATTGCTTGAAACTGGGAGGCGGAGGTTGCAGTGAGCCAAGTTGTGCCACCGCACTTCAGCCTAAGTGACACAGCAAGACTGACTCCAAAAAAAAAAAAAGAAATCTTTTTGAAGACAAGGTGGAGAGAGTGGGCCTACCTATCAGATAGTACGGCTTTGCAGTCAGCTACTATAAATTAAGATAGTTTGTTACTGGTTTAGGAATAAACCTGCTCGCCCAGGCTGGAGTGCAGTGGTGGCAATCTCGGCTCACTACAACTTCCACCTCCTGGGTTCAAGTGATTCTGGTGCCTCAGGTCCCAAGTAGCTGGGACCCAGGCAACACACCACCATATCTGGCATAATTTTTGTATTTTTTGTAAGAAAGAGTTTCACTATGTTGTGCTGGCTGGTCTTGAACCTAAGCTCAAGCAAATCCGCCGCGACCTCAGCCTCCCAAAGTGCTGGAATTACAGGCATGAGCCACCGCACATGGCCAGATAATAACTTATGTATTATTATTATTTTTGAGACAGGAGTTTCACTTCGGCGCCCAGGCTGGGAGGTTGCAATGGTGAGATCTTGGCTC